ATTTTCGCCCGTTAGGATTAGCCTGAAAAGTTCTTTTTTGAAAGATCCAATCAAATTTATACTGTAGCTATCTAAATGCCTTTATCATTAAACTTAAGACTTCAGTAAAGTTACAGCAACTTACCGAACACTCAGCAATAAGTTATCATTTTTGGCCGAGTAATAAATCGCGAAAAGGTTTGTGAAAATGGCAACGAAAAGTACCTGCATGCAAATGAGTTTTATGCTTTTTTGTAACAAAATTCACCAAGGCGCTTCCTGATCCCAAAAAAGCTTGAAATCGCAAAAGTGTATCCACGCTGATTTCAAGGAGTCCTGGCTGAGTTGGGTCTGAATGGAAGCTGACGGCACGTTGAGTCAATAGATCAATCTTGATCATTTGGCAAACATTACCGAGAGCTGGAATTGGAAGTGGAGCATTGTTTTTATAATAAAGAAATGCTCAAAATAAGTCCACGAACAAGTTTTAGTACTTTAGGGTCATATCAAGATTAGACTGGTTCAATTCTCCGAAGTGCAGGCTAGGGAAGTACTCCAGCTCGTACTTGCTATTAGACTTTGCTTGAACTAATGTATAGTCTAAAAAGTTTAGCTTTGAACAACATCACAATATTTTACTTCTTTTACGGACGAAAGAAACAGAGCTAAAAAGCTTCTACCTGGGCCTGACTAGATCAGAGTTGCTTTAGAAGCAAGGTCAGAAGGCAAGAATGCAAAAGCGAGATATTTTACATTATTTGGAGTATTAAGGTAAATAATTTTGAGCAAAAATATTAAAAAAGCAAAGAAAAAAATCATAAAAAGTAAAAGAAATCTCCTGGTGGGGATCGAACCCAGGCAAAAGATAAACCATACTCGCCTTGCATACCATGCTCTTATCCATTCGGCTCTCAGGTTTGCTGGTCGAACAAATCGCCTTTTAGGGAAATTACAAAACCCTTAATGTAGAATATCTCGCGTTTGCGTGGTTGTTGGCAGCTAATTTTTAGCTCATTTTGATCAGCATGATCGATTCTATAAGGTCCATACAGTTTCATAACGATCCTGAACTTTGAGCTCAGACCGTTTCCTCGTTAGAAAAACGCCCATTAGATAGATTTGCACAAATACATATAAGAAATGACTTCTCCTTGCTATGCTTATGGCTATAAATAAATGGTACACACAGTCAGTGGACAGATCCAACCTGTTAGGATCGACCCAACGACAAGCACCTCCAAGACTTCGCGAATATTTTTCAGCACGTCCCCCATTACCTAAAATCGAGTTTAAATTTGAACAAAATCCAAACTGAATCATGAAGGAAACTCGCAAACTTATAGATTTAAAAATAGAAAGATCTTTTATCTTGGAAGATTGGGAAAGACTTGGCTTTGCTGAATGACTAATGCCACCAAATGTTACCTGTTGCTGAGTTCAAATTAAGTTTCCAATCGAGTCCAAATCGAGCCGCCTTCTGCAACTGAACAAGTTACCCAAAAAAATTTCCGTCGAATTGAAAAAAATTTCAATTTTTGGTCTTCTGGGATAAAATTTATATTGTATTTTTTAATGACACTTCAATTTACTCGTTTGGCTCAAAGTCTATCAAATTTTTGAAGCACTTCCGCGTTTTTGTGTACAAAATCAACTGGGGACCATTGGGTGCACTTTTTGTTAACAGAGATGGCAAAAATAAATTCAAATAATTAATAGAAGCTAAAATGCAAAAAGAATTGCATAAATAACACAAAAATGAACCAGGTTGGCAAAGTTTCCAAACTTTTCGCGAACCCTGTATAGTGTTGCGCTTAATGCACCTTTTTGGCTTTCTAAGACAACACATTAACCTAAGCTGAAAAATAACAATTAATCGTAAAATCCACGTGTAATTTGACATAGAACAGAAAAGCCGAGACATTTTTTAGAATTTTGTGAAGCTACAGCTACAAGATTTCGGTTTTTTTGCGATCAGATGGCTACGATTTAATGCCTTAAAACAAACTTGCATCTGGACTAGATAACAGCTGACTGTTTCATTTGCAGTCCAGGCGGACACCTGATTGGACAAGACAAAAAGAAAGATGAGAATTCAGTGGGACTGGGACAATTTGAAAGCAGAAACTGGTATTGAATACCCGGGGATTTCCGTGACACTTCGCATTTCAACTCTGTTTTTAAGGGATCGCAGCTCAAGAAGTTCGAATTTCTTCAATAAAAAGCAATAATTGTCACCGTTTTATCTGCTGGGAATTCTTAGAACTTAGTGTAACCGGCAATTGGCTTCGAATTTTTGTGGCATGCAAACACCCAATGAAAGTATGGTGCCAAAAGGGCCCAAGATTTTTTTATTAAAATTCTTCAACTGGGAATAAAGAAAAGACGCGTAATAAAGCACAATAATTAGATCTTTAAAACACAAAGGGATTGCGGTGGTAATAGTATCCACAGTGTTAAAATCCATCAAGAGAAACGCAAACGAAACTTCAATGTCCCCAACCTAATATCTGAACGAAAAAAATGTCAACTCTTTTGGTTTTTGAGAAAATCAGACTTTTGTAGAGCACAACACTATATATGCCACACCCTGCACAGGGCGACCAGAAATAACGGAGTATTTTTTTGAATCTTCCTTTTTTGCCAACCTTTTGATAGCGACATTAATGGCTAAAATATTTTGATAGGAGATATATAAAACTTCTCTAGTTTCTAATACTCCTTTCCGTTTTTGAGTCAGAAAGAAAAATTCAGCATTTTTTCGCGCCACAAAAGCCCTTCCGTTATTTCTAGTCACCCTGGAAAATCAGTTGACTTTGTGAAGCTACAGCTACAAGATTTCAGTTTTTTTTGCCATCAGAAGGCTTACGATTTAATGCCTTAAAACAAACTCTTACATCTGGACTAGATAACAGCTGCCTGTTTCATTTGCTGTCCAGGCGGACACCTGATTGGACAAGACAAAAAGAAAGATGAGAATTCAGTGGGACTGGGAAAATTTGAAAGCAGACACTGGTATTGAAGACCCGAGGATTCCCGTGACACTTTGCATTTCAACTCTATTTTTAAAAGATCGCAGCTCAAGAAAAGTTTTTCAATAAAAAGCAATAATTGTCGCCGATTTATCTGCTGGGAATTCATCAGGCTGTGTTTTGGTTCGTTTTTTATCTTTATGTTTCTTAGGCAGAACTTGGGCCCTTTTGGCACCATACTTTCATTGGGTGTTTGGATTCCCCAAAAATTCGAAGCCGATTGCCGGTTACACTAAGTTCTGTGCGAGATAAATGTTCTCTCCCGGGGGAATTCTTTCCACAGATAAAAAATGCTGAAACGTTAATGAGGGGTTGCAATGAGCCGAATCAAAAATGGCAATAAAATAGAACTAACCATAAAATATTAGGTTGGTGCAGATGAAACTTCCGTCACACTTGCTTGTCTATTTTTTGGACATAATAAAAGTTTTTATTGAATATATTTGTCTATCTGGAAGAGCGTCTCCTTGCGCTCCTTTCGATATATGATTCTGCTCCTAGAAAATGGTTGCATTCGGCGATGACGAAGAATTGGGCTGAGAAGTTCTGCCTCATCCACCATATAGCCCGGAGTTGGCCCCATCCGACTACCACTTGGTTCGGTCGATGCAGCACCCTCTAGTAGAAAAAAATTGAATGGTTCCAACCGCAGTTTCATCTGCACCAACCTAATAGAACTGTAAAATAGATCTTTTATGTAAAATTTGAGTTTCACATCTAATTTTCAATTTTCTGACCATAAAATGTTACCTTTTCTTCGGCCACGTTATCTCGACGAGATTTCAATCAAATGACCGCCTCGGGGACAATCTCGGGGACTTTTTAGCCATTAATAATTGATTATCATTCGATTTCAAAGAACACAAAGTTGTACTGACTCTTTCTAAGTGTGATTTGAATCAATACAGCTGCGGCTGGTAGAGTGGTTTTATTGCAGACTAACGCTATCACCGAATCTCATCTTTCATCAAATATGTGAGAATCTAGAGAAGCGAGAAACAAAGTATAAATGAAAATTCAATTCTAATAACTAAAACTTAAACAGAAATCACAGATTTCTGCACGGAATTTCTATTTTTTGCCGTTTTCGATTCTCTCATCGCAACTTCACATGAACGTTTTAACATTTTGAATTCTTCCAAGGAATTCCCCCCCGGGAAACACATTTGTTTTGGACAGAACTTATTATAGTTTCGTTTGATTAGTTTTGGTTTTTCTTGGAGTAACGTATTTTGAAACAGGATGAGTAGAGTTCAAACTCGAATACTTATGCAATTCAAGATGAAAATACACCCATGCACAAAAAAAATGTCACATCGTTTTTACAAAACTTTACGCCTAAATTTGACCTACTAAACGTGTTCCAAATTCTATGCTGTCAAAAGGTTTTAGATAGCAAAAAGCTTCTACTTTCTTGTGAAAAAGTGTTCAAGTTCCAGCAATTTGTTTAACTTTTATTTTTCAATAAATACCGGAAGAACACCAAAAACGGGTGCACAAAAAAAATGTCACATTTAACTTGAACCTCCCTTAGCTGGGCCTCGCTTAGCTTGAATAACTGCCTGAATCCTCCGTGGCATCGAATCAGTCAAATCCTCCAAGATTTGAGGAGAAATTTTCCGCCATTCGCTTCGAATGAAGTACCAAAGCTCAACCTTGGTCGCAAATCGTTTGCCCTTCAGTTTACCCTTGATGTGCGACCACAAATGCTCGATTACGTTGAGATCCGGGCTGTAAGGTGGAGCAGCGACGAGCTTGACACGATTGTCAGCGAACCATCCCGGTAAACGAGCCCTTCCACCGTTTGAAAGTCGGCCGACCCTTCCTATCAACATCTGGTGCTTGTGACACGGAGCGTTATCCTTGTACAACAACCATCCTTGTCCCATATTCGTGGTCGCAAATGGAAGAAGATCATTCTCCAGGATCGTCTTGTACCGCTGGGCCTTCAAGATTGAGTTGAGAAAGACGAGCGGACCTGGTGAACTTCTAGTCATCGCTCCTGAAAAAAAGCAAGATTAGTTGACATAAGGGAACAAGTCTTTTACCCCATAGCATAATCCGGAGACCAGTTGGACAACGCCATAACATCAAATCCTTGCGGCCGACAGTCAAATTCCTCTCTGAAGACTTGTCGTGTCGAATCAAAGGGAAACCCGTTGTCCTTTCTTCGAATGGTTGATCCGTGTGGAAAATGGCTCGGTAATGTGGAATAAATTGTTCATCAAAGTTGAAAAACGACAAATTCGCAACAGCTTTTCCCGGTGTTTCGTTGCAGTAATCGATGGCACAGATGATGAAATGAGTTGTATCGGTGAAAGAATAGAGGCCAACCTAGACGGAGAGTGGGTATATGTTGAGTAAAACCTTTTCTAAAACGCACCAATCTTTAACCCATCCGTAACTACCGTTACGTGTGGAGGTTTCTATGTGTTTGCTTGAAAGTTGACAGGTTATTTGCCTATTCTTGAAAGCTACGGTAACCAGTCAGCTCATTTTTGGTGTCAGTCGATGAAGAATTACAAGGCTCACTCGACGAGGCCAAAAATGAGCTGACTGAGTTAAGCACTAATTGGAACTAGGGCAGTTTAAAAAGTGTGTCCCCGGGACTCGAACCCGCGTGCTTTCCCTTACTGGGCAACTGTGGTAACCATTACACCACAACGCACTTGATTCCTTTCTCCAGGGAAAGTTGACTTACTGACTATTTGATTACGATAGTTTTCAAAAATCAGTGTCTTTTAGAAAAGGTACTACTCAACATTTGCACACTCTAGGGAGTACATTCCCTAATTTCTTCCAATAGAAGCACCTGCCCAAACTCTTCCGCTATTTTTGCTTATATCTCGTCACTCATATGTGTTTATATTCAACTTTTTAGCCGCAAAATTGCCGAGTTACAGAGGAATCTTTTGGCAAATTCTGTCTGGTTCTAGCTTAAAAAGCGTACAAAGGAACGCGTTTCTCTTAGAGATGAAATGCGACATTTACAAATCACACTCAAGTGTCAATCAAATCTACTTTACTGAATTAAAAACGAGAATTTAACCTCGAATCTCCCTTGAGCATAGCGCGAATCCTGCCAGAAGCAGCCGCTCACAAAAGATTTTGTCTGAAAGAAAAATTGATTCGAAAGAGGAATCATTGGGTTTGATAGAATGCTCGAAAATTGTTACAGCGATTTTTAAGGCCAGTTTTTATCAACCCAATCATCATTTCACCTTTTTATAATAAATCATCAGACAAGCTTGAGCCATACAATGAGCCTTGAGTCCTGTCACAAAGCACTTCACCCTTTGCTCTTTCAAAAAATCAACTGTCAAGATATCATTGCACAAATCCTGAACTTCTTTTTTTAGCTTTGAAGAAGAAAGCATTAACTTTTTACCCAATCACAGTGCATCAAAATGTCGATTTCCATTGAGAACTGATAGCCGTAACGCCCGCCATTGTAGATTCGAAAAAATAAAATCTCACAAAAGATTTTCAGAGAAAGCTTACGCTGGTGAATTTTGCAAAAGAATCTGATCAAACATCATCAATGATTGATTGACAATTGATGGAATGATCGAACCAACCCATTTCGCTTCCATCCAAGACAAATCGGATGGAAGAGTCTGAATGCCTACACTCGTTAGTAAAAATCTGTTGGTTATCAAGGCTTTTTTGTTATCAAAGGTTTTACTAAACTGCAAATGAGACAACTTTTTTACTGACCTTTATTTTCCCGGTGACTTTACAAGCTTTTCCTCGAGCCCTTCCGGTCCCTTTGTTTATTCGAGTAACATTCGAGTTTGTTAGGGACTGTTGGCTCTGACATTTTCTATTTCTAAGAAATCTTGTAGAAGCACATACACTAGGTACGCCTTTGACCTCAAGATAATCCAGGTACTCAAAAAGTACCCCAAAATACTCCAGGTTTGGCATATTCTTGGGGATACTTTGAAGGCTATTTGGTGGTGGCTATAAACTGTTAACTTCACTCACCGAATATGTCAAACAAGTGACACCCTCATCGAGATATCTCTCGGGCACAGTGACATTCCCAAAAGAAGTCCATTCAGCGCTTCCATTCCATATAGGCTCGTGTTTGTTGCAGTAGTCACTGTTGCTGAAACAAAACTTCCTCAAAAAAGACCTTGTTAACTATAAAATTTTTCTTTGGAAAAGCGAATAGCTTAAGCCTAAATCAAACAAAATCAGCACCGGCATCTCCACATTTACCGACAGTTTAATGCCAGTAAATCAGTGCTGGTAATCCCCGTCGCCAAATAGCAACAGTTTCGTAAGACTTTAACTGAGACCTATAGGGTTTAGCTGCTATAAGAATAGTGTCGGTGCAAAGAAAACGGTATTGACAGTCCCATTAATTACCGATAACTGATAACGATACTGTCGGTAAATGGTGATAAAACCAGATGAACACTTGTTTGAGAGAAATTTCTGTTTGATTTTGACTCAATCAATCAATCACTCACTTGCACAGACACCAAAAAGACATTTCATCAGAACCCGAATTGACGATCCAATTCTCTTCATAATAACAACCGGCCATCAAATACTTCATTCCCGTTACACATTGAAGCACTTTCAATTGGTCAGTCGACCGAAAATAGTAATAGCACAAATCCCCGTCACATTCTTGCCTAAAGTGGAAGAAATCCGTTAGAAACTTGTAAAATCTTTCAAGAAGTTGCCAAAATTCTTACGCTTTTTTGTTTCGATCGCCTTTTTGTGTATTCAAATTATTACTACATTTTAGATTAAATGTTTCCACGAAAAAGAGAGAAACGAATATAAATGTAATCATTAAAAAACAAAGCTTGTTTACAAAGGACCGAGAAAAATCAAAAAACTTTTTCCGCTCAGATTTTCCCAAATCTCATTACTCGGGCCAAAGAAATGAGCTCTTAAAAAAAAAACAAAAGTAATGCACTGTTTCAGGTCAACGCATCAAAGCATGACTGAAAGTACAAAATGAAACAAAAAAATTCATTAACAAATGGGAGGTTCTATCGATGTTCTTTATAAAAGGCTATCAGATATCCCGTTGAAGTCTCTCCCACCGTCGATACTATCTATTTTATCGCTTTACTTGAGAAGGGGTCAATATCAAAGTCATCAAGGTTTTATGTTTTCACGAAATACGCTGAGAAAGCGCTTCTGAGAGCTTCTTGAATATCCTGGTTTTTAAAGTCTTTCAAGTACTCTTTTTCTCCAAACCTTAAGTTCTCATTGAGTTTTTGTGTTGATTTAAAGTCTTTTTTTGTAAACAATTCGACAAATATGTCCATTTGGATTTCTAAATGCGTAAAAAACCTTAGATAAAAGACATTTTGAGACATTTTTGAGCCGTACTTAATTTATTTATTATTTCTGGGGCAACATTTTACAAATAAATCGAGCGGTTGAAACGTTAAGATGATCTAATATTCAATATCATCCAATATCGGCCTGTACATGAAGTCATCTAAAAAAGATTTTCACTAATTTCATGACATCAAAAAGACTTTAGAAGGCTGTAACCTGTAACCATCGAAACAAAAAGGTTGTAACCCATAGAGCCCTCACGCAAAAGGAATCCGTTGTAACGGCAAAACATTTTTTTTAAAAATCAAAATCTGATCAAGATGAAAGTTCAGATACAGGGAATTCATAAAAGTTTTCATAAGGAATTCATAAAGATTCTAACACAAGAAAAAAAAGTTAATAGATCTTTTAGGGTCTGTAGGGTCTGTAGCTAGAAACGTGTCTTATCAAAATCGTTTTATAGGCCGAATACAATGTCAAGAAAGAGCAAAATGGGGTGTTCTTTAGAATACACAAGTTGCAATGGCTTATTTGCAGCAGTAATCAGACAATGATGTTTTCCTGCGCAAATAAATACTCTAGCTTCTGCTGTAGTCGAAGCATTTCATGGAGAGAATCCGTTTTCGATTTAATCAATGGATCATCATCTTTTATCACTTTTGCAATGAATTGTTTCAAAAGAGCACTCCCAAGCCTATCCATAAATCGATTCTCTTCAATTATTTCATTTTTTAGCTCATCTGTTGCATCGTGAGAAAAGTCATAGTTGTAAGCCATTGATATGATTTCTCTAATGCCTGGCACTGCAATCAGAAAATCATTTTTCTCAACTTCGAGAACAGTCAAGAACTCACAAATCTCATCACTTTCTAAGTACTTGGCTAGGAATTTGTTGACGATTTTTTCGAGTAACTCTTCGGTTAGGTAATCTTTAAGGTCGATTCGACGAAGATTCACGAAATCGATTTCCTCTTGTTCGATGTTGTAAATTGGATGTATGGACAAATGCTCATCCATACAAGGTATTCTCAGCAGCTCGTTTTTCAAGGCTCTCATCGTTCCGATACACTCAAGGACGAGAAGATTCTGCTTTTCAGGGGCCTTGAATTGACAAAATAAAAAGTATTTTGGGCAAGAGCACGAACCAACGTTGACAAAGTATTTCAACCAAATAAATCTACTAATCACTAAGATTAGATCGTTAACAGTGTCGAGACGTTGAACTCTTGCTAAAAAGAGACAAAATTCGAAATAGAGAGCAGTGTAGTCTTGATATGGTTGATTGCAAGGAACATTGAATCGTTTCAGCCTTTTGAAACGCTTTTTATCTGAGAACTGAAGCGGGCATTTTATTTCACAGTTACAAGTGTCCATTGGAGGGTATCTCAACTGAAACACATAGCCTTTTACTGGAAGATCTTGACCATCGCTTTTTGAAATCGTCTCTTTGAGTTTTGTCGCCAGACCCCAGAGCCTTTGCATGGCCTCAAACATGTGTCCCCTAGTGATCGTTTCTTCAAAAGATTCGAATCGAAACCATTCAATTCCATTTGCCATTGGCTCCCCTTCTCTCACAACAAAATGCATCTCATCAATCCATTGCCCAACAATAGCTTTTGGGTTACCGAGATCATTTCTAGGCACAAACGTGTACAAATCATTGCTCGTTCTTGTGGTGTCAAAGAGGAGAAACTCGCCCCCTAAATTTGTGGTGAAACAGGAAAGCTTTGGCAAGAATGCGTTGTTAGCTTTTGTCGCTTCGAAACTGTCAAAGTCAAGGTGTTGAAATTCGAGAAATGATTGATGAAATTCACCAAACGCTTCCCAGAGCTCGATTTGTTTGTAAATACTAACATAAGCTGCTGCTTCCTTTGCTAATATTCTTTTCAAATAACTTTGAGCATCACTCAAAATCATTCGTTTATCCCAAACAGGTCCTTCATCGAATTTTTTAGTAATACCGATCGATTTTGGAGTAGAGAAGTTTGTAAGTGATGTCTCTTTAATGATTTCTCCTTCTTTCGTCTTTTCGACAAATTTAGCATCAACGTTGCCAAAGGGTAGGCTAATCTGCCACTCATATGTGTACATGTTTTCATTTTTTGGGAGATTTTCTGGATCTTCGATTGGCTGGTCCTCTGTTTCATTTGAAGTCACTTGTCCATTATTTTCCAGTGAGCTAATATCAGTTGAGACTTCTGACGCAAGTACACTGAATCTTGAAATTTCGAATGCAAGAGAATCAAGTTGAGCATTGTAAGAAAGTGATTCTGATTTCATGTCTTGTTCAGGTAGTTTTAGTTCAAATTGAACTTCTGATTCTGTTTTTGGAGAGTCTTCTCGATCCAGCTCTTTTTGCTCATCTTTCAAATTTGGATTTAAGTATTGAATTTCTGAATTCTCATCACTTTTCTCATCTTCTTTGCCATTAAACGAATGGATCGGAGAAAAACTGATCTCAAATTGGCAAAAATCTTCGGGCAACTCATTGGTATCTTCACGTATTACTTTTTTGCTCTCAAACTCATCCGTTGCTTCAAGTTTTTCATTTTCTAAAGATGATTCTTCTTCATCGGATTTGTCATCCCCTTCGGCTAACTTTCCCAAGTCTTTCTCCTGTACCGATATTGAAATCGAATCAAAATTGCAAAGATTGTCCTCATCGGTTTTTTTCACAACAAAAGGTTCATGCTTTGCGACGATTCCCTTTGGCGGAAGAATAGTGGTTTGATGCTCATTTAGCTCAGGAATAAACTCGAATTCCATATCTAGCTCGAGAAACTGAAAAATGCGTCATAGAAATGTGGAAATTACTATCACATACCCTCTTGATCCTCGTTGCACTCTCCAACGCCTTTGCTGAGTCGTAGCGACTTTTGGGCAAAAGTTGTGTGCAACTAAAATAACGTAAGACCCTTTTTTCGCCAACTTACAAATAAATATGATCTCGAAAGTGTTTCCTGGCTGTTAGCTCTTCGATTTCCACCAAGTTGCCGCCCTTTTTGAAATCGTTGGCGAAAGCTGTCCGTTCAAAACCATAGTATCTTTTGTACTGATTGAGGATTCTTCTGAAAAGAAAGTTTTCTGTTTTACAAAGAAATTTTTAACCTTCTTTCGATGATCTCCCAACAAACAATGCCCATTGAGTAAACGTCGGCTTTAGAATTTTCCTGAATTTGACTTGATGTTTAGTGCTTCTTTTATGTTTTGTGTCTTTTCAAAAAGCCCCATTTTTTTATAACATTTGATATTTTCTATATAAAATAACTTTTTCTAAGAAATTTTTAACATGAAAATATTGACTTTTACAATGATAGAAAAAGTTTTGGAAAGAAGTCAATAAGCCCACAAAACTATTAGGGTCGTGCAAAAGAAACTGCCGATTTGACGGTAAATTCAAAAAAAAGATGGCGTTCGATGGTGACATGATCACAACGCAATATTTTCGCAAGATCTCGAGCAGATTGGCATGGATCGGCCTGAATAACGTCCCTCAGCTTGGCTTCGTTCACGACTTCTGGCCTCGAACCGTGCTCGTAGTCTTCCAAAGTATCGTCTCCCTCTCTTGAAACCAAGTCTGACACTGCCTGAGAGACAAACTGCCATCTCCGAAAGCTGCACAGAGAGAACGATGCGATTCGGCAGCAGACTTTCCAATTTTGAAGTTAAACAGTAATGCTGCTCGTAGCACAAAATTTTGCTCGACCATGATCTAAATAAAAAATATAAGCGTTTTTAAATAAAATAAATAACAACCAAAAAATTCAAATGTCGAAATAAATAGCAAACAAATATGCGAACAAAACATAAAAAAATAATGCCGCTAGCATCGCTCGTTTCTGATAAATGAGAGCTGATACCCATCGGCAGTTTCTTTTGCACCACCCTAATAGCTTTTTTAAAGAAACCACAAGCACAAAAGGGCTCAACCAACTTCTTTGCTAGTCTTTTCGCTGAATAGAATTTCCGGGCATGTGTACCGCTCGGTGCCCACAAATGATCCCGAAACACTCGCTTTAGCCTTTGCCATCCCGAAATCGCCCAAAATCAGATAAAAGAACTGGTCAACCAAGATACTAAAGAAAGCACTTTCGAAATTTTTGAAAGATCGATGAAAAGGAAATCAATGAGGAAACCATTTTGTTGGCTCTTTTCTATCTAAAAAGACTCTTGTCAAAGAATTTTTTACTTTATCTTTTTTATTTTATCGTGGAGTTCATAGCTTCGGCGATATTTTGGCATTAAAAGTTTTGAAAAAAGAGCCCTCAAAATGGGGTATTTCGAGCCCACTTCTCAGGTTTAATATCTCGATGCATTTTCCCTTCATGATCGAGATAATCTAGCACCAGAAAAAGTTGTTCCATCCAGACAGCCACCGTGTAGACAGAGTACGTGAATTTTGGATTGAAAATGACTAAAAAAATTGAAATTTGGACTCATTTTTGAAATTTCGACTTACTATCGGCTAGTGATTTCCTTTCGACCATTTGCATGACTATTCCAATGATTTCTTTCCGAGCACCACAATCTCGACTTATAAATCCCAGATATTTGACGACTAGCTTGTGCTTGAGATGTTGCAAAGTGGAAAGCTCGTTACGAATCAACTTGCGCATTCTTTTCAAATCTCCGGTGAACATTTTCACGGCTAGAGGACTGAAATATCAGATTTATTGTTTGGTTGCTTACATTTTGAAAGGCTCACCTCAACTCATGAGCTCAACTTTTTGAAAAGATTACAACGATAAGTTTCTAGGCTACTTCTAAGTCAAAACTAGCAATTTTACAAACAAAAGCTATGCCGCAAGTCTCCTTAGGCTTCTGAAGTCTTAAAAACAGCAAGAAATTATCAATGAGTCAACTCATACCCTAAAAGTGACACTACGACTTGGAAAATCTCGTTTCTTTGAAAAGTTTCTTTGAAGTTAGTTTCTTTGAAATTCAAAAACGACAAAGCTTTACGGGTTCCAATTTGGCACTTGATACACAGCTCCATAAGCACCACATCCCAGCAAATTCTCTTCTTTAAGCCATTCATTTTCATAGAGAAATTCTTCAGAAATCTCTTCAGATAGTTCTCCTTGTTCGCTCATTCCTTGTTTTTTGCTTTGAACGATTAGAGCTAAAAAATAGGAAATAGAAAAGGAACGATAGAAATTTTGAAGTTTTCTAGTAGCAAAAATAATCAACAAATAGTTTTCTTACGTAATTTGTTTTGTTGAAAGAAATAGAATGGGGAAAAGGGCTTCAATCAATAACGAACAAGCTGACAAAAAGGACTGGTTAGCTTTTTTGAAAAAGTGTGAGTTTACAAGCCAATCAGGGCTTCAGTTCAATGTGTGATTAGGGTGAATGCTCAAAAGATTTATTTCATAATAAGTAGATTCTGTTAGCAGCTATTTCATCACTTCCCTTTCGATTTGTTTACCTAAATTTAGGGAATTTGGAAAATGTCTAATGAAAGGAAAGATAATTTTTTACTATCGAGGTTTGACTGTATATAAAAGAGAAGTGTCTGTCCGTCCGTACAATTCCTCTCTCAATTCTTGATTCCTCTCAAAAGGCGTCTTCCATTCATTGAATCGTTCTTTTAGTAGCGGTGAATAGCTTTGAGAAATCTGAAAGAAAATTCAAATTCAAAAATTCATCGTTCTGTTCGTCAATAGAAGCATAATGAAAAGTTTAAGCTCGACGTTTTTAGAAGTTTGATCTTTGTTTGAAGTTCTTTGCAGTTTGCACTTTGTTTGAAGTTCTTTGCACCCATGAACAGAGGTCCTAAAATGGTATCCATTGATGAAAAGAACCTTTGAAAAGTTTTTCTTAAAAAATACGGGCTTTTCCGCTATACACCTATTAGTCGAAAAGGTCAAATCTTTTTCCATCCCATCCTTTCAATGAAACCTCTGTAACGAGCATTTAGCGGAACACTGTGCTCCGAAAAACATTCAATCGATTTGAGCAGGGATACGAATTTTATTCGTCACGATACGGAAAAGTCTTTTGCTAACGAGGTTTTTTGCTATCGAATTTTTTTAATCGAGGTTTGACTGTATATAAAAGAGAAGTGTGTGGCGAATAGCCACTAAAAGTTATCTAACTCTGACAGCCTAAAAATTGGAAAAGTATTGAGGAAATCGGTGCGCTTTCATTCTATTTCGCGCCCCAAAGCATTTATTGTTTTGTAACTTGTTAGCTGAATATCTTGTGCTAAAGCCTATATAAGCTGTTGTTCATTTGATTTAGTTGTCTTTCATTTTTTCTGCTTTCCTTTCATCGTGTGAAAGTTGTGTCCTAATTAGGACGAAATTGTTTCTGTTTTTAACGTCGCTTTTAATTCAATTGTCGATTTTGTGTGAAAATTGCTCAAGTGAGAGCCCAAAGATTCCAAGTCAGTCGGCTATTGAATAAGGTGTTTTAGTTCCAGTGAGATCAGATATCTCGAAACAAGAAATAACGTGTCTTGAGTGAAGAGTACCAAGCACGCCAAGAATATTTCTTTACAAAGTGTCTGTCCGTCCATCTGTCTGTCCACGCGCACGAGAAATTTGCATTTGTTTGGGAATTAAGCTATGAATTTCCAAACAAAGTTTGCGCATTCTAGACTCGATTTTAATTTTAATTTCAAAGCATTGAGCTGTCTGATCAAAAGTTGCGACTGAAAATCTTCTCTCTCCACTTCACTCTCACTTTTATCATTTTTATTTTTCATCTTGTACTTTCAGCGCTCATCAACTTTTATATCAATTTTCATGCTTTTAGCGTTATTACCGTATTTTCTGTAATAGTAGTGCGCACTAATATTTTTTCAACCATCCTCCAGCCGGCACTACTATTATAAACTGCACTACTATTACAGGAAATACGGTATTTAGAGCTCGTGTAACTATAAACCAAGTTTTTTTGTGAAACTCAGAGCTGAAGTAAAAGCACTCTGGAATAAAAAGGATGCCAGAAATCGATTGGCATAGTAGTTTTCACAATGAACGACTTAAAGGAACACCCGCGTAGCGGATGGTCAGCAAAGCTGGTCTGGACATAAATGGTTACGATCTTTCAAAGTTTGATTCCTGTGTTAAAGAGTTCACTCGAATGGCAGATGATTTGTAAAAAAAACATTCAAAAATTGGAGCTTCTCACAAAGAAATGCAGTTTGTGATTACTGGGTTTGTCTCAAAGAGAAAATCTCGGTTATTTCGAATTTTTGAGCGGTGTGCCAAAAGGCGTCTATACTTACCACAGTGAACGCTTCAGCCATCCTTTGAATGAGATCATTTCTCGAATCTCCTCGAACCTATTCGAGCTCACAATTGTATCAGGAGTGAGTTCATTTAGAATGGGCTCCTTTTGATTAATACACTTTCTAAAACACAGTCAGTTTAAAAGTCTACCGTAATCGAGAGACTTGATTATGGTGACTTTCCTAAACAAGTGTCTTTCAAAAAACCGCCATTAATCGAGAGAAACTCACATTAAGCTTATCCAATACACAAAGGCTCTTCTGACTGACTCAAAGTTGTCGATTCATTTTATTAGGTTGATGCAAAAGTCTTTTTCATTTTTTTCGTACTTCTTTCGAAAAATAACAAAGTCATCAATTAACCTATGGTTTGCTCTAAATGAAAAGTGTTTATTGTTCAATTTCCCATCTTTTTAAGTCAATTTGGGTTCACTTTCAAGCAAATTCGAGAGTGAAAACGGGTTTTTTATAAAAATCTATAAAAACCTCTATAAAGAAATTGGCCGAATCAATTTCTCTGAAAATCTGAAAAAATATCGAACTTTTTGTGCTCTATCTTTTATTTATTAACATCAAGATTGGTTTCCTTAGCTAAAGCGTCTAAAATGCATCATCGAGCCGTCGCCTTTTTTGACTACCCGACTTCAGGCTCTCAAAAAAATCTAGACATAAGACATTTTAAACTCGTTTTAATGTCATTTTGCAGAAAAATAATTGGCCTTTCGAATGCAATAAACCGTTGTTCAATTGGTGCATTTGTTACTTTTTAACGGAAGTACGAAAAAAATGAAAAAGACTTTTGCATCAACCTAATATATGGCCACCATATATTTGTTGCGTAAAGATGAGAGAAATTGAGCAATTCGATGGAAAACATCTTCTCTACTGGATCCGGTTAAAGAATAATTCTATCGAAATCGATAAAATTCTGTTCAAAAAAATAAACTTTATGTACATTAAGAAGAGAAAAAGTAAACAAGTTCGACTAGTTCTCTCTGAAGACTTGTCGTGTCGATTCAAAGGGAAACCCGTTGTACTTTCTTCGAATGGTTGATCCGTGTGGAAAATGGCTCGATAATGTGGAATAAATTGTTCATCAAAGTTGAAAAACGACAAATTGGCAACAGCTTTTTTGTTTTGTTACAGTAATCGATTGCACAGATGATGAAACGAGTGGTGTGGGTGAAAGAATAGAGGCCAACCTAGACTGAGAGTGGGAGTACTAGAGTGTGTATATGTCAAATAGCGTCTTTTCTAAAATGCACCTATTTTTTAAAAGCTACCCATAACTACCGACAGTCTGGAGGTTTCTATGTATTTGATTGAAAGATGAAAGCTACCGTACCAGGATCTCTATGGTACACATGGTAAAAATATCTAAAACTTTTACCTAAAAAAGTTTAAATCAACCAGTGATTTATTGTGTTTTGAAGAAGAAACATTTGAATTATTTGGGTGGTGCAAAAGAAACTGCCGATGGGTATCAGCTCTTATTTATCAGAAGCGAGCGATGCTCACGGCATTATTTTTTTTAATGTTTTGTTCGCATATTTGTTTGCTATTTATTTCGACATTTGAATTTTTTGGTTGTTGTTTATTTTATTTAAAAATCCTTATATTTTTTTGTGTGAGCAAAAGTTTGTGCTACGAGCAGCATTACTGTTTAACTTCGAAATGGAAAAGTCTGCTGCCGAATCGCATCGTTCTCTCTGTGCTGCTTTTGGAGATGGCAGTTTGTCTCTCAGGCAGTGTCAGACTTGGTTTCAAGAGAGGGAGACGAGACTTTGGAAGACTAAGAGCACGGTTCGAGGCCAAAAGTCGTGAACGAAGCCAAGCTGAGGGACAGGCCGATCCATGCCAATCTGCTCGAGATCTTGCGAAAATATTCCATTGTGATCATTTCACCATCGAACGCCATCTTCACGCTATTGGAAAGAAAAGTCGTGGTGGAAGATGGGTCCCTCATCAACTCAGTGATGCTAACCTCGCATCTCGCATTTCCATCGCTGGCATTCTCCTGAATCGTGGAGAGAATAGCGGATTTCTTGATTCTATCGTGACATAGGATGAGAAATGAATTGTATACGACAACTTGACGTGAGAACGATAGTGGCTGAGCGCCGGCGAACGTGCTATTCCAACCCCAAGGCCCGAAATCCACGGGAAGAAGCTCTTATTGTCTGTAAGGGTTTGGTGTACTTTGTGTTACTGGAACATGGAAAAGCGGTCACTGCGGACTTGTATGCTCATCGGCTGGACAGGGTGTACAAAGCAATGGAGCGCCAGGGTGCGGACATGACTTCGGTGAAACTCTTGCATGACAATGCTAAGCCGCATGTTGCGAAAATCACACAGCAGAAAATCGAAGAATTTGGATGGGAAGTCCTGCCTCATATTCTCCTGATATGGCTTCAAGTGATTATTACCTATTTGGCTCGATGCAGCACTTTCTGAAGGAGAAGCAGTTCAAGAATGATGATGAGGTCCGTAACTGGGTGCTCAACTATTTTGAGTCCCAGGAGTCCCAGTTCTTCCAAGATGGCATTCGGTCTCTTCGCGTTCGATGGAGCAAAGTCATTGATGCTTGTTTTGAATATTTCGATGAATAAAGATTTCTCGCTTTGATGTTATGTTTTTTTGAATTGACCGTCAAATCGGCATTTCTTTTGCACCACCCTAATAGATTGAACTCAAGAAATATTTGTATGTGGCACTATAGAAGCACACGCCTTTCAAAAAGGGCGAACCGTGTAGAAGTTGTTGTTCCTTGGTCACAACTCTAAGCTGACCGAATGCAAAATTTTTATCGTCAGGTTTACGGTTTAGGTACAAAAAGTACAAACCGGTAGTTTAAATGAGTGAATGGCACTTTGTGAACTGAATTTTGTCCACTTTTCTGCTTCGCTTAAATTAAAAAAGTCTGTTTCATTTTTATGCTCAGCGAAACAAAAAAAAACAGTATTGGCTTTTTTTATTAAAACTAATTCAAAAAGAAAAAATTTCACCTGTTTCAAAAAAATCACACACAATCAAGCAAATTTTCAAATCTCCACAGGTTTCCCAAAAATTAGCAAAAGTTTACATTGTATTCGAGCGACACTTTACATGAGAATTATTTTAGAATTGATGTACAATTTATTTATAAGTATTTCTCTGCTCAAGCATTTTTTTTCGCTTCTATTTAAATATCTTTATCTGTATCTTTAAATCTTCAGGCCATGGCTGGCCTCTACTCTAGCTCTCATTTGCATTTTTAAATATTCAGAGCTTTTCTCTTCTCAAAATGTGGTGGCAATTCTGCATCTACTTACTTTATGGAATCCCGTCCGCTTTGCTCAACATTCTTTTGGGCATTTGCATTCGAAAAACGAAAGTTCTCATTGAAAGCTCTTTCTATCGTGTATACGTTTATGTGCTTTTTGTGGTGGGAAACAGTAAACAGGCTCCTTCATTCTAAATGCTTGTACCCAGACATTTTCTTAGAAAAAAAGCGTCTGGTCTGGTTATTGGTTGGTTTGTCTAGTATAATCACTGACCGGTCTGAAAGACTTTAGGCTAAACTGACAACTAGGCATGGAGTTAAGTGTTGACCAAAGCTGGGCGGATTGAAAGAAAATTCGAATCAGATAATCTAGAAAAAAATTATGGACTCCGAATCGGATACGCATTTCCCGAAGATGCGTGAGATGCCTTATTGAGTTTTTTGCTCAAATTCAGTAGTTTCAAAGCACTGATGGCTTATCCCAAGCGACTAAGCGAATTAGGAGAAAAACGATTAAGCGAGTTAAAGTCAGGTTATCTTCCTCCTGATGGTCTGGTTTGCTGACCTGATAAAGCTGACTGGGCTTATTATGGTTCAATGGACCAACCTTATACATTTTAACCGCTAAACAAATCATTTGGTTAAGTTGAGGCACAACAATAATTTGAATAACGATCACTTTTAGTATCTGCTGACCTACTTATGCACGTATGTGACTCTGAAATGTGCAGAAATTCCCTTACTCACCAATTCCTACATAAATGCCTCCGATTTTCTGGCCTTTCGCTTCATTTACACTTACTCGATATCAGCTTTTCACATTCAACAGGTGGCCCTAATTTTGATGCATTTGAATCGATTTACTGCTGTCTTTTTGCCGTTCATGCATCAACGGGTGAGGTGATTTAATATTTAATAACACATTGTTAACCTTAAGCAAGCATGTCAAAAACGGGTGGGGCCGGTCGGCTCCAGCCCAATACTAACTTCACCTCCGTTTTCTAAACTCGCTTTTGATTCATTGTTCTGTAAATTTGGGCATCAAGTAACAAATTGTGAGCCAACGCCATTTAAAATTTTCAGAGCAATTGATCGAAAGATGGATGAGAAAATGAAGGTGTAATTAGTATCGGGCCGGCATGGAGTGGGGGCGGCCCCATCCCATTTTTGCATGCTTGACCTTAAGCTCTGGAAGCCGATGCACATCGAAATTGTGAAGTATGGCATTTTTCTCTTCGGGTTCGGTCTATGTTGCGAGTATTTTGTGATCACTGGATATTATGGGGTTTCGTCGAGCGGCTACATTTACAATCCCGTAAATCGCTCGGTTGCGAGTGTTTTGAATTTGCAACCAACGCAAAATTATCTCAGCTTTGTGTTGTCCAATTGATCCACTTTTTCTATCAATACATGGTGATTGAAATCATCTGTCGATTGAGCTCAAAAGTAGCCTAATTAGACAATACATCGTTGGGCTTTTTGATTTTGAAGTTGGCAATGTTTTTGAAAGGACCACAATATCTTCTAACCGTATAAAACTGTAGCATTTAACCATATGATTGCTTTGGCTTTTGAATTTCGTAAAAGACAAATATTTGAGCCAAAAATTAAATCCTTTTCAGGAAGCACCGGTGTGTTTTTGGGCAGAGAAGAACCTTGGAAACGTCTATCCATTCATCTCACTCTTGATAAACGTCGGCAGCCTCACGAAACTCATCTACATGCGAATGAAAAAGAAAAGGTTTTTGAAAAAGAAATTCAATTTTTATCATCCAGTTTGTCAGTCATTTTTCCGATGGAAAACCAATTGAGTTCAACCTGTTTATGATCTGTTTGGCGAGCCTCTTTGTGCAGCTGGCTCTTCTGATTTATGTGGTAAGCCAAATTTAAACTTCCTTTATTTATAAAGCTTTCATTCAAGAAATGTTTTTGCTTTTGTTTTGAAGAAAGATAGTAATATTTCTTTGGCATAATAAACTTGTTCACTTTTTATCCACTTCGGGGATAAAAAGTGATCCGTGAAACACATGTTTATTGTCAAAAAATTTTTGCATTTTCAGGATTTTGGCGGCATTGTCGTCAACACACAATATCGTTATTTAGTGGTAAGCTTTTCAATCTTGACTTCAATTTAAAATCTACTGTATTTCAGTTGAACGTGGTCTCAGATTTCGGAACGTTAAGCGAGGCATGGATTGGATTGATGGTCAATCGAACACTCAGACAGAGGTTTTTCGGTTGGCTACTCAAGCGCCAATTCTTCCTCGACTCGACCACAGCAGACCAAGCAGCTGACGCGTTCCAACGAGCACCACCGCATTAAACAGCTGGCATCTCTTGATAGAAAATCTACAAAATTCGAAGGATAACCCAAAAAGTGACACAATTTAAACTCCACCTTGCAAAATAAACCTAAGCTTTGGATTGAGCCTACCCCGATTATCATAAAAGACATCAAAGTAGCATTGAAAAGTTTTCAAAAATAGCAGGAATTGACTACCGTTTGAATTTCGTTGTTTGCTCTCTTGGTAAAATTTTGACAAAACAATCACAGAAACTTTTATTACAGTACTTTAATTTACTTTTAAAAATGCAAAGACTCTAGATGAAATCTATTTTTCTGCTTTATTTTGTATACTTTTCGTTAAGTTTTTTAGATTTATCGCAACAAACGAAGGTATTGGATAGGTTAAGCAATAAAAATAAGACAACTTGAGATCTTTAAAGCCTGCTAACATAAATTGCTACATGTTAACATATAGCAAGTTCGACAAATGAGAACGACAAACGCAAATTTGCATTCTTTCATCAAAAATCGAGTTAGTTTCCTTTTGCTACAAAAAGCAAGGAACAGGAGAGTAGAAGTGGGTTGCAAAATTAAATATTAAAAACAGTAAGCTCATTTGCAAGATCATCTTAGTTTTCAGATAACCACTTGCCAAGTTAGGTAGCTAGCTGTTGAGAGAGATTAGGTCCAGCAATCACAAATTTTGAAGCTGTGCATTTTTCTGACGAAAAAGTTCCCCTTTCCGTTTTATCCGGGAAAATTAAATCGCTGCTTTTAAATTAAATTTTAAATCGCTACCGCATCAATTTTGTTGATGCGGTAGTTATATAGAATTCTGCACATGCATCGACGGTCCGTTCCACGATTCGCCAACAGCCAGGAATTGATATCTCATTTGGCAACCCTTATCATTTTAAAGATGGGTTATGACTTTTACAATTTTATGAAAACTGCAAATTAGCACCCATTTTCAAATAGCAGACGCACCCAGAATGAATTTTAATTTAATTTAGAAGTGAAATTTCAAAAATGTGCTTAAAGCCAAATGGGACAAATAATCACCTCTCCTTCCGCATGAAATTTCCCTTTCGAATCCTGGCACGCTTGTTTGGAAAGGGCTAAAAATCAAAACTGAACCAAATTTTGAACTAAAGACTTATAAATTTCTTTTTTTTGTTTTAAAAAATAATTCTATAAATCAGGCAAAGTTTTCTGTAAGGACGACCTCGATTCGACAGAAACCGAACCGTTGAATGAGAAAAAGATACCTTTGAGTGCTTTGTTGAGCTTAATCATTTCTGCCGCAAATGCTGTTAGATCATCTCCACTCCACTACCAAGCATTACCCATTCGATAAATAACCGAGTAGCCTTGCAAAATTTGTAGATTCCTAAGCCATTTTCGTTTCCTTCCCAAGCAATGAAAGGACAGCTCTTGAAAATTTACATTTCACACAAAAATTGCTGAATTTTCTCTTTGGAATCAGTTTCGCATAATTACAATATCACAATTTTGCCAGATGGCTGACTGGATATGGGTCTTGTCTTCTGGACGCGAGGTCGTAGCTCTTCACAACTAACTTTTGGATATATTCTTCTCCGTAAAATTCTCTGTAAAATTCCATGAGGAAGTCCTTCAAAACTTGATTATTGCTTATTGATGTTACTCATTGGTATAATCAATAACAAGAATGAATTGATATTGATATCAACAGTAGCAACATATAGTTTTTAGGTAACCTTTTCGAGGAAATTAATGGATCTTTAGGTATCAAAAAAGTTGATGATTTAGGCTTTTCACTAGAAAAAGTTTTAAGTTGATAGGATTTTCTTGTGCAAAGAACTGAGCACTCTAAGGGTACCATGCTATAGCATCCCAAAAGATCAATGCCCGTGTTTTGGGGATGAAAATGAAAGCCAGACAGGTACAAAAGAAAATTTCTATTTATTCCGGCAAAAATAAAGAAAATAGCTTGTTTCTCTCAATTTTCTCTGAAGTAGATGTCTGGAGTAGCAGTAGAAATAGTAGAAAGTAGAAAGTAGAAAGTAGAAATAGTAGATGTCCGGCAATCCCTCTCGAAGTCGATTCAAAGTCTGAGGTTTTGCAAATTAAAATTCCTTGCTTCCTCCTTACCTCCGCTTCTTAAAACGCTTCGGGATCGCTTTCTCAAGAGTCACCGTCTAAAAAAAACAAAGAATTTCCCGAAAAGAAAACCACGAACCTCACACTCTTCCACGGTCAAATTTCTGTAATTAGTTTCCTCATTATAAAGAACGAGTGTTTGCCGCTTCCAGAAATCGGCAATACATTCTTGTTGGATGTGCTTCAATTGTTTTTTGCGACCTAGAGTAAACGACCTGATTCCCTTTGATTGATGCCATTTCTAAAAGGCATCTCATTTAAAAAACTACCGTACAAACGGTCAGCTTTCATTTAAACTGCCCAATTTTTGCATAAGGGACTGAACATTGTGATTCCCCATTGAATGATACTAAAATTGGGCAGAAATAAAGAAAGTTGGTAGTTTGGGTCCGCGAGTTTTTGAAAATAGATACATTATAGAGAGAGTATTAATCGAGAGGTATGTGTTTTTCCCTCAAAATATGCGTTTTCTAAAAGGCACTTATTTTAGAAAACTACCGTACTCAAACCAGCAGTTTTCGTTCAAACTGTCCAAATTTCAGAGTCTGAGTATTATGCTTCCTTCTAGAATGCTACTAAAATTGGCCAGTTTGAATGAAAACTGGCAGTTTGGGTACGGTGGTTTTTTGAAAGTGCCTTTGTTATAGAGAGAATATGAATCCTAACCCTGAATCTCAGGGAAAAGCAATCGAGTCCCTCCCTGAGCTGAGGCTTGGAAAGACAATCGAGTCCCGTCCACCATTTGCTTCCCCACTATGACCAAATCCTGGTACTCGATCTCCACAAAGCCGAGCACTTTCAAAAACGTCAGGGAGTTCAGTCCAGTTGATTTCACTCTCTCGAAATCTCGGCTAAGGATGATGCTCTTCGTTACCAAGTTCTCGAGATAGAGTCCCTCGTGTCCCTGCATCGAGACATACAAACAGACGAACTTGAACTCTCCATGGTCATCAATGGCCTCCCCCAATAGATGGAGAATCTCAGGCGAGTGTTCGATCTCTTTCCAACGGCTTAGAAGGAAAAAGATTTTCACATATCGTGTGTACATCTCTACAAAATGCCTTTGCTCTTTCGTATGGTGTTTAGCGAAAGGAACTTGGAGTTTTGAATCTAAATCTAATGGGAAGCCGCCAGCCCTATGAAATTTTTTCCCATTCGTTCTCTCGAGGAAGCCCGGCCAAAGATGGAAAGCAAAGAAATAGTCAGGAAATGGGAGGCTAGAGGTTAGGGGAAGCTTTAAACGGCGATCCTTGTAGACCCTGTGCTCACTCTTCAGCGCCACACAAAGCAACGTGTCAACATCCCAAGCTTTATCTTCCAATTTGGCGGCCAAATACCTTTCCAAAATCGTTTTCTCTTGATATAGGGCCCTTCGCAAAGCCTCTATATCAATGGGCACCATCTCGTCTCTTTTCATCTCCTCTCGATTCTCGTCTCCCCGACAAAATTGAGTCAAATTCTGCTTGAAGTAGAGGGGCTCCCGCTGAACGAGGACATCCACCGACTCACACCACAACTCCCTCGATTCCATTAGATAACAAGTCCGAAAGTAGAGCCTCTGAGTGAAAATCTTCTCTAGTTCCTCTATATTCCTTATCGAGATCTCGATCAAGTTCAAGAGATCCCAATTGGCGACTCTTGTCTCGTGGCATTCCATTAAGACGAAGAAAGCCTGCTGGAAGGAAAAACTTTGCAAAAATAGGTCAAAGGTGAAAAGGAGAAAAGCGGGATCTTTCTGAAAATCGTACAATGTCGGCGAATAGATGATTGCCGTGGCCGGACCCTCACAGGGCATCGACTGCAGGGAGTCGAAGGGCTTGAACGTGTTGCTGTGGGCGAAAGCCTCCAGGTAGTCCTCAGCTAGTTGAGTCTTTTCCTCCTCATTCATCACATTGAACTTTTGCATAAAAGTTTCACATAGGGTCTTTCGAAGTTGGTTGATGTCATTGAAAGGGGAGTTTCCAGAAGTTAATTCCAAGTCCGGGCAACATAGCTCGAAGAATTCTTCTTCAATACTATTCTGATTCTTCTCATATTTTCCGATATGGATTCTCCAGTTGAAATAGTCTTTCATCGTTGACATATGAAAGTTTGTTTGGATTTCAACTTTTGCTAGCATCTCGTCCAATAGGATTTGAGTTTCTTTGGGAACTCCAATGGGAATTTCTGGTTCAGTTCTCACAGACGACTTTTCCGCAAGGGTTTGCGAAAAAGTTGTCACGTCTGGGGGTAAAAATAAAGAGAAATCTTCGTTTTCAGAAAGCCTCATTTTCATGAGTTTCCCATTCGGATCAACGGAAATCATTCTCGATGAACCATCGATTCCAATCGGCTCGATCAGTCGCTTTTGGTCGTTCTTGAAACGGGGCAACACCTCGTGCGCCGAGCACTAAACAGACGAAAATATAAACCATTTTAATACTATATTATATAAAGAATTTTTTTTACTTCGCTTTGAGCATCATATGCTAACTGTAATGCTGCATTGACATCGATTCTTTCTCGGTAGAATTTGCGGCCACAGCTGAAATATTGAAGCTCAAAAGATTTTCAAAAAGGTTTAAGCTCATTCAATTCAAAAACTTTTTGTATATTTGTTAGTTTCTCTATAAAATACAAGAACTAGTCAATAATAGGTTGCCTATGATCTATTGGTCCTCAAGAGAAAGCTAATCGTAAGCTCACCTAGAAATTAGGAACACCAATTTCCCGATATCGTCTTCCGCAAATTTAAAAGAAAAAGAGATTTCTTCTTTTTCGCGTAGCAAATTGGTCATAAATCTAAACGTAAGGGTTTTTTTTTCTCCATCGAAAGCCACCCACTCTCGTTCAAACACCTCCCAGAGCACCAAGCCGGCCGCGTAGACATCGATTTTGTAGCTATCCTTAAACTTTCAATAATAATTTCTTTCATTAAGGGGAAATATGTCACTTTGGCTCCAAATTTTTGACTTTCGAAGGGCTAAATTTGCCACTTTTTGTGGTTTGATAGATGTATTTTGCTAACATTGCTAACTGCGTACCCCCTCCTACAGTTTTTTTTGTTTTTATTTACTAGCAACCTTAAGTATTAGGTTGTTCGGATATAAACAAGCGTTGCTAAACTTATTGTTGTGAGAGAAGCTTTTAAAGCTTCTTTTAAAACATGTCTTTCTGTATTTAAAAGTACGTTATCTTGTGCCTATTTGGAATCTTTTTAAATGGATAGTTTCTTATTTTTAAGAGCTTTTTTCTTGCTTTAGATGACCGACCTCAAACATCAAATTCGCGTATGCCTACTTTACGCTTCAAACTGGGCAAAACAGCCGTGGAATCCCATCGAGATTTAGTCAAAGCATTTGGGAAGGATGTATAGTCCGAAAGCCGATGCCGAGCCTGGTTTCAACGCTTTCGGAATGGTGATGAAATTTTCGAGGATGATGAACACTCTCGTCGACCCCAAGCGGTAGACAACGATATTTTGAGGGCTGCAATCGAATTGGATCCATGTCAAACAACGCGCGAACTTGCTCAGCTATTTTTATGATCAAATTCTACTATTGATGAGCATCTCCACTCCATTGGAAAGACGATTAGATGCGAGAAATGGCTTCCTCACGAGTTAAGCAAGGCAAACAAGGCTCCACGGGTCCCTATTGCCGGAATCCTCATCCGCCACGCTAAAGATCGTGGCTTTTTTCATTCTCTCGTTACTGGAGTTGAGAAGTGGATCTATTTCGATAATACTATTCGAAAACGGCAATGGCTAGGACCAGGAGAACGGCCGAATCCGACCGTGAAACCGGACATTCATGGGAAAAAGGGGGATAATTTGTATGGTGGGATAACAAAGGCCTTGTTTGTTTTGAGCTTCTACAACCCGGCCAAACAGTCACATCAGACCTCTACAAACAGCAACTTGATCGGGTCAATGAAGCCCATTCGTCAAGAAGTAGACACATCAAAGATAAAGTCCATCCATGACAACGCTAGACCTCACGTTGCAAAAATCACTCAGCAAAAACTGGAGAATCTAGGATGGGAGCTTCTACCACATCCGCCGTATTCTACCGATTTAGCTCCCTCAGATTACCATTTATTCCGCTCAATGCAAAAACTTTTGGCTAATGAGAAATTCAAAATCCGTGAAGATATCTCAAATTGGGTCGTCAAGTTTTTCGAGTCACAGCCGGCTGAGTTTTTCAAGAGCGGCATCAATTCTTTGCGCAAAAGATGGCAAGAAGTAATCAATAATAATAGTAAATATATTTTGGATTAAACTGTGTTGTTTCTGTTTTTAAGATAAATTTTGTCGACTACTAAAACGCTCGTTTATATCCGAACAACCTAATAGAACAATGACTTTGCAGAACAGAGAAACTCTGCTGTACTCCCCACAGGCCTGGACACGAAGGGATTCACAGGGGACCGATTGCCCATCTCTGAATATGGGAAAAGAACGATTTCTTTAATTTTGTAATGTATTTTTGGCAAAATATTGAGTTTTGTCCCTCCCTGAAGACTTTGACAACCTTTCCCCTCCCTCAAAAGTTTTCTGGGTACGGGCGTGGTTCACCATAGCCCGAATCGACTACCTGTTCCCCAGCCTACCTCCACAAGACCCGGCTAATTTAATTCTAAAAGCAAGGAGCTTTTTGTTGGAATTTGAAAGTCCAATTGTCTAAGGAAAAGGTATCAAATTACCCAAAGTTAAAGTCAAAGTTCTCTTCTGTTTACCTCAGAATTCAACTCGCAGACATCAGGATTTCGAGCCTCTGGCGCCATATAGGCCGGCGTACCGGCAATGCCCCCAAGAGCTTCCACTCCAAAAGTTTCCGCTATCCCGAAATCGCCAATTTTTAGCACAAAATCTTTGGAAACAAAAACACTAAAATTTTCTATATACAATGATAAAGTTTAAAAAAACTTGGCCGGTTTGATATCTCGATGGACCCTTCGCTTGCTTTTGAGATAGACCAATCCAGAGAAGAGGTCAACGGCCCATTTGGCGATTGTCGCGATTGAATAGATGAATTTCTCGTTTTTGATTACTGAAATTCTATTCTCAAAGTTTATTAAGAGCAACCACCATTTCGAAGCGATCCATACTCGCAAAATTCCATGAAAATCGAGAAATATTGACCATCCGGGGGTAATCGGGTGGTCTATCCAAGTATTTGACGATATTCTCGTGGGAAAGTTCTTTTAGCGTTCGGAGCTCTTTTTTTGAATAACTTCCACAATTTCCAGTGATTGGGATTTCTTTGACGACAATTGAACTATAAAAGAAATTATAAGTAACCTTGTGCCACCTAAGAAAGTTTACCGGTTTTTTTTCTAGCTTTCTAACTTTCTAACTTACTATAACTGTTCAACTTTTTAGATGTGACTTTATACGAGAAATTGAATGAAACTAGTTCCAGCTTGATTAGACTCAGTCCCGGGAAGAGACGGTAAAAAACGAGGGATTTTTTAGATTTTTATGACATTAACTTCCCAAGCCTTCGGCTCGAGCTAAAAGTGAGTTCATTCGATTTCCATAAAAGTTAGATCTAAAAAGTTAAATGAAAATAGAAAGTTTATTTCTCGTTAAAGCAAACCGCAGGCTTGTGTTTTAGATGAATTTAAGTCTCTATAAGAATTTTTTTTTAATTAATGAGGGAAAACTCACGGATGATATTTGTTGAGCTTGTAGACGGTTCCGAAAGCACTTGGATCACCGATTTTCTCTTTTTCTTCGAGATTTTCCTCGTGCGAAAACATTGGATCAAAAATTTAGTTGAATAGTTGAAATGCGAAATGTTGTAAAGTGTAACCGACTAGTAGCGATTGACTTTTCATTTTGTGGTTTTTATTGTGCAATGAAATGCTCATGAGGCGAGGAGAAAGGTGGATCGATTGAAATTGGATCAAAAGATCTTTTCTACACAAGAAATGAAATGTGAAATGAAAAAGTCAATAATGCTTACCTTTTCTCGTATGACCAGGATCCTGGACTTTTTTCATCGAAAATGAATAGCAAATGGCCTTTCAAGTTAGAGAAGTTACTGACAGTTACAAAGAAGAGAATACTTTATTAGACTTACAAGGATTAACAGACTCTTTCGACTGTTATATGAAGATGTGCTGTCTTTTCGTACTTCAGTGAGCACAATTTGGACGGAAGCGAGTTGCTCGTCCTGTCTACTGTTTAACTTGGCGACTAACAGCAACTTTAGTAAGAAATAAGTAATCCGGTATACAATTTAGGTCGCGTAAAACATGAGACCTTGGCGGCATTGAAAAGCGTATCGGTGTAGCTCATTGGTAGAGCTTTTGGACGGTAAATTAATAGCGTAACTACGGTAAATACCTTCGAAATAAATTGTGTATCCGACTTGTTTCAATCTCTCATACAGCTTGTCAATATCGTGCTTTTTCAAAGAAGAATAACTGTCCGAACCATCCCAACAGATGACTGGCAAAAAATTGTAATAAGATACCTGCTTTGGGCGATAAATATATGCCAAAGTGGCAGCTATTTTTCCTCTTCCTTTTTCTAAAGAAAACAATAACTATTTTCCCTAATTTCCATCCTAATCCGTGTTCTCCTTTTCTCAAGAACCATTTCTACATCTTCCAATATGAAAGCTCCTGAGCGCATCTTTTTTTAATCTATTAGGCTGGCCGATAAGTTTATTTTATTTATTTTTTTAAAATAATTAAAAAAATTTTTTTTGATAATAAAACTTGCAAAAATCCCCGCCATTGCCAGTCGGTTTCTTTTTTGTCGCTTGCTTCTGTATGGATCGACGGGAAGACCGAATTGTGATTAAATAAATGATCTACTATAAACGCCTGCGCATGCTTTGTTGTGAACGTGTGGAGCAAGCTTCGCTTTCTTGGGCTTTCGTTAGGCAAAATCTGTTAGGCGAAATCTGGGTAACCTTTTTCTTTCATGTAATTTCATTCTGGAGTGAATTATATATCTTTTTCAGAATGGATCCACGTAATTTCAAGTGGTATGCTGGTCCCGATGAGTCACAGACGTTAAAGGGTGCTGGCAAATTGGGGGATGCGAACGCGTGGAGTGTCGTTAGTAAAGTAAGTTTTAATTTACCGTAAAAACTCTAATAGAAGAGTCCCTTTTCGTAGTCTAAGTTTACATATAGCACATATTTTTAGCATTAACCAGCGCTTAGAAAAAAGTGATTGAAAACTGGCAAAAAAGAGCCGATTTTCAGCGATTTTCAATCATCTCAAAAAACCACCCATTTTGAATCTGATACCTAAACGCGGAGAAACAAACGTGTTGGTGTCGAGATATGAGCGCTTGTTTGAGAGTAAACCTAGACTACGCGATGCTCCTATAGAGGGCTCTTCTATTAGACCTTTTTGGTAATTTTCAATACATCTGTGCACCTGTTTCATAATTAATGTATTTTAGGACGAAATGGAGATGTACGAGGCCAAGACTTTTATCCAGAAGGCTCGTTTGTACTTGGTGAAGTCGCCTCCGGACCTTGTCCAATCTGCTGAAAAGATTTGGTTCGCGGCGGTGTACGCCGTTAAGGAACTCTATCTCACTTGTGGTCGCATCGATTTGAAGTCGCATAAATCCCTTGCACATCTTTGCAAGTTTGCTATTTCCAATGCTGGATTGTCCTTTGGTCGTCAACGCTATTTGCAACACGACTGCTGGGAAAAAGCCGAGAAGTGAGTAACTTTTTATAGGATTGTATTCGAAATTGCTATTACTAATTACGAATAGCATGATGCAGGCTTCCTCATTGTCCCGAAGTGTCAACATTGTTTTTTCTTCAAATCTGCATGAGGTCAGTCCGTTGTGGAAAACTTGGCATTCGTGATTTTTTGCTTGAATTGTGATTGTTTCACCGCAGCTGTAAACTTGGGATGGCCAATGGAGAAGAAGTAGTAGAGCGAGTCTCATCAGTCGAATGGGGTAGGTTCTTTGGCGGCGTTGTCGGCGGGTTGCTCGCTTGACGATAGCGATTGTAGCCCAGAACCATGTGATGCCGATGAGAACTCGGAGTAGAGCGCCTCCCACCCTGGACACCGTGCATTGTGGTGTGAAATAGATCGACCAACAGATGATGCAGTTCGAGACGTCGCATATGTTGAGAGGAGGGCATTGGAGTAGTCGTTTTTCTCGTAGATCTCCATTTTTCCAGGCCGTGATCTCAAAAGTGTGGTTGGTGATTCGATATTTAGGGGGCGGGCAGAATTCGATGGGTCCTTGTGAAATTTGTGAAGGGTCGAGATGGGTACATTGTCGATTGGATCCCGTGTTCACGCATATTTCAGCAAGGTCGTTGCATTCCGGATTGACATCGATGATGAGGCCGTTATTTGTGCAATTGAATGATAGCCTCTGGCATTTTTCTGTCGTATCGTTTTTCTCTTCTTGAACATAGACCAGTTTGTTGCTGGTGGCCCAAGCCTTGATGGGCACAGCTCCATTGGGAGTCTGAAGGAGAGCGAGCTCATGTCTCGGGAAGAGACAAAATCGCGGTCCTCCCCTGGTGCATTTGAATTGTTCGCAGAAGGTTGAGGTTCCGTCGACGTAGCCTTCACCAATACAGATTGGTTCCGTTATCTGTTTCCTGATGATGTTCAATTCGTTGACCCATGCCCTGGCTCCATTGTATAGCATCACCTCATGAATACTTCGTGTTTGTTGGATTGGGCATTGTTGGCTTTTGACCCGACACAAGTTGGGAGCCATTTTTGCAATTCTTTCTCCGTGCTCGGGTAGATATTGGGTTGATGGGTGCTTGATCAGCCAAGAACAATCGTCGGCCCAATTTGGGCATCGGCAAGGGGTAGTGCAAGGCGAGGTGAGGTAGCTTGGGTCCGTGTGCCGTCGGATGTGCTGGTCAACTCCACAAGAGACCGGCCGGACGCAAGCTCTCTCCTTATTCTCGTGGATTGCCAACCCAAATCGTGTGCAGTATTCTTGGTACCTCACGATACCTGAACAGGCGTTCGCTGCGACTCCGCTCATCAGTTGCAGAGCGAGAATCACAGTAGTGTAGGTGATTGCTTTCCGTGGCCGAAATTCGTATCTCGATCTTGAGCTTTCGACAACCTTTTGAGCACTGCCGCTTTTGCTTTGGGATCCTTTTGATACATCTTTGTTTTCAGTTGGTTTTTCGGCCTCACTTTCTGGCTTCTCGTTTGCCGTCGTATTCTCATTTTCTTCCGGCAAGATCTCCAGTGGGTATAAGGTAGCGATAGAACGAATAGTTGAGCGACCATTTGACATCTGAACTTCGGCCGATCGTACATGTCCGTCATTGCTTTCGACCAGTCTGGTGATCTTTCCTGTTCTCCATTTACCTTTGGCGACATTTGGCTCGTAGACAATGACGATTTCGTCAAGAATTGGACGACGTTTTGTCGCGTTTGGGTGTTGTTTGAGGCCTTGGAAACCTCTTTCCCGCAAAGCCAGTAAGTAGTCGGTCGTGAAGAGTTTCCAGAAAAGATTCGTTCGGTCCACTGCATGTTGCCAGGATGCTCGGAGAGACAATTGCGTATTTCCTTGAAGTGGCTGGCTGTCCTGCAGTTCTTCGGTTGGCAGGCGAATTGTTGCATTGGGTATTGTGAGGTCGATTGGGCGAGGGACTTGCCCATTTCCAAGGTTTGTCAGTGGTCTTGAGTTCACAACGGCCTCGGCTTCCGCAGTGAAAGTGATGAACTCTTCGATGTCAAGGAGTCGGTTTCGGATGGTTCTTCGGAGGCTTTCTTTGATGATTCGGATCATTCGTTCATAAAGTCCTCCAGACCATGGTGATAAAACCGGGATGTGCTTCCACGTGATTCGGTCCTTCAGAGCCGATGTTTCGAACAATTGTTGATCTGCATTGCTCCAGGATTCGATGAGCGGTGAAGTGGCTCTGAAGTTAGTTCCGTTGTCGGAGATAAAGAATTTCGGGAGTCCCCGACGGGCGACAAATCTTCTCAAGGCTTGGAGAAAATCGATGGCGGAAACAGAGCGAGTTGTTTCGATGTGTATTGCTCGTGATGCCATACAAACAAAGACGCATATCCACACTTTTGTCGTTTCACCGTTGTCGTTTACGAGAAATGGTCCAGCAAGATCGACACCGGCGTTTTCGAAGGGTAGTTTACCCTTGAGGTTGGTAGTTGTGGAAGCTCAGGCAGTTTGAAAGGCACTGCACGTTCCGGCTTGCATGCTAGGCATCTTTTCACGACTTTGTTGACCAGAACTCTTCCGTGTGTAATCCAAACACTGTTTCGAAGAGTGGTCAATGTGACTGAGGTGCTGGCATGTTGCATCCTTTCGTGTACATCGGCGGCGAGTAGTGCCGTAGCTGGGTCTTTGTGGGAGAGGAAGAACGGTTTCTTCGCCTCTTCTCCGGCATTACTATTGTCGATACGTCCTTGGGATCTCCAACAGTTATTCTCATCGCGAAACAAATGAAGTGACTTTGTGTCCGTTGGAGATGGCGGATATCTTTGTTGACTTTCTTTGATGAGCTGGATCTCGACGAGTTGTCCAACTTCATGCCGGTGGGTAAAGTTCTTCAAGATCGATCTGATTCCTGATTCCGCTCGAGTTGATGTGATTTTGATGAACCACAAAACGAATGTCATTGTGCAGATCATCTTGTTCCATGAAGAGAATCTCCTAGGGTTCAACAGCGAGCAATCTTCCTTTTCTTGTGTTTGGATGATGCTTGTTGCTGTTGTCCCTTTTGTCGGAGTGATTTCAATAGGCTCCAGCTCGGGTCTGGGCCATT